TCAAACTTGGTAGGAGTGCAGGCGTCTCATTCTCGTCCAGCCCCCCTTTTTAGGGTTTTTTGAAGCTTTTTTCCACTTGAGAAAAAGCGATTCACGCAGTTTCTCCACCTTCATCGTACCAACCTTGGTTCCATTTTTCANAGTGGGCATGACGTGCTTCGAAATGAGCTATACTGAGGACCATGATTTCAAATTCAGTCACAAGACAGCTTCAAAACTGGGGTTTAAAGGTGGCTAGAGGTGTGCGTTGGTAAGTTAGATCGAACTGGGGAGACCCAACCCCTTATGAAAACATTTGTAACTCGGTTTGGAGAAAACCAACAGAGCAGGAAAAAGTAAATGTGGGAGGAGCATTGTCGAAGGTGTCTTCAGCATAAATGACGTCAGCGGAGACTCGCCCACAGTGAGCGGGCGTGCCTCAAAGCTTACATCCCTTCTTACATTTATATACGAACATCCATAACTCCAGTTCCCATGGACCTGAACTGTTCAAACTTGATAGGAGTACAGGAGCCATGGTGGGGAAACTTGTGGTGAGCGGCAGAACCAGACGCCGCCCACAAGGGGCGGGGTTTGGGCGAAAATTCATAATTCCTGTGTCCTTGGACCTAGAAAGTTCAAACTTGGTAGGAGTGCAGGCGTCTCATTCTCGTCCTGCCCCCCTTTTTAGGGTTTTTTGAAGCTTTTTTCCACTTGAGAAACAGCGATTCACGCAGTTTCTCCACCTTCATCGTACCAACCTTGTTTCCATTTTTCATCATAATAATATAATACATAATACCAAAAACTGTCGTGAACTGTGCCTTCACAGTTTTCGTCAAAAGTCTGATCATCGCGCTGGCTGTCCTTATATTCCTTTGAGCTTTTGGAGGATCCACAAAGCAACCGCCCTGGTCCAAAGGTCATCAGAATATCACATAACATGCTCGGTCCACCTGATATTCGATTTTACATGCAACGGCATCTCTGATCTTTTTCGTTAGCAGAACTCGGAACCCCGGAATTCCTTTTTCATTTGCGTGAATGGGGGAACAACGAGTTCCGATATTCCTTATCTTTCCTTGGTATTCTTAAGAGCTCCCCCGCAGCATGTTTTCTTCTGCTCAGCATTGGAGCTCAAGAGTTCATTACGTTGACTCCTTGACTCAGACACACGAAGATAGAGCATTCTGAGTTGTTCGTCCGTTTAGCGTAAAGGAAGCATCAGGTATCTTTTTTTATAAACATCGTCTTCGTTAAGTTCAATCTGGAGGCAGTTTTTCCACAAGCGCATTCCCTTTCTATGTGGCGCATGGTGTTTTCAAAGAGCCGCATTGAAAAGTTTAGGCGCTATATATTGTTCTGTCGACGAATCTCTTCAGGTTTTTACTTCCTTGTGAGTGGCAGAATCCAGCATGTGAAAGTGTCGTGGAGCTTATGGAGCATCATTGCACATTGACTAGGAGCGCCGTGGTTGTCCTGCCTCGCAGCTTCTGTCTTGATGGTATCAAAAGCCCGCTTCGAATCGATAGACGGCATCCTGTGCTGTTGCGATTTCAGTGAATTTTGTGTTAACGTGAATGTGATCGACTGTACTGGACACTCTCCGAAACCCTGCTTGCGCTTGGCTAGCCTTCATTTAATATGAATTCTTTTAAGAATGACTCGCGTGAAATGTTTGTATCTTAAGGACGGCAGGCAGTCTGAGCCATAGTTACCTATACCGTCTGTTCCTTCTCATGCAGCAGCACAGTTATGCTAGCTTTGCCCTGCACGACGTGGGCCCTTTGCATTCGCAGGTGTCGCATGAATATCCTGGCCAGAGCCTGACGAAGTTGGTGAAACGTTCTTTACATATTATGATTTGATCTATCATGGTCCAAGCGCCATACAATTCATCATCGTTCGTAATGTAATGACAAATATTGGAAGGGGGAATGGAAGGAACGACAAATCCATCTTGCCCTGAAGTGTAGATGTCGTAGATGATCTTCTCCGTTGCCCTTTGAAATGCATAACAGTTCTAGAGGGGAAAGTCTTCTTGGTTTTGTAATAGCACAGTTCCGATGGCTTTGAGAAGTCTCTTTCCAGTTTCGGCGGCTCTAGCCAGAACTGCTGCTCTCCTCCATCTCGAATCATGCTTTTCCGCATAGCTTGGCAAGTTCAGACGTTTGATGTTAAGCCTCTAGCTTGCGCGATTCTACGCTGATGTATTAGCTCGAGAGTCTTCGGAGACACGTCTTTTTGCTACGCATTTCTCTGCTTTCTAGCACTATCACGAAATTGTTTGACCATTAGAAAATGAGATTATGATCTTCTTCGATGTTGTTGGCAACGAAATCTTCCCAAAAAACTCGAAAAAAGCTAAGTAATTTCAGTTGAGGACGATCTTGAGCCTTCCTTAGCTGAAAACCATCGCCATCTCCACACGCATTAGAAATTACATAGGATCTAACGCGCAGAAGGCCTGATTTAATAACGCGTAGAACTTCCGAACAACAGCGAGGTCGATCAGGCAGAAAATTCAATTGAAGACGACGGAATCTATTTCACTATGGTATTTTCTATCGGATGACTGTCATGTCCATAGCGAATGAGAGAGCTTCTGGAACTGAGTAATGTACGTGGATGGTTTGCGAAGAGCTTCCTCAGGTCCATATAAAACGCTTCCAGCTGCTCTCCTTCGTAACTTGACGATGGTACGTAGGCGACGAAGATTGTCGGAGCCGGGGTTGAGCCACAAGTCTAGGTCGCGAGTGTACAGGTCGCTATCTTACTCCTATTCCTCTCGTTTTGGGCAATGCTCTGAGATTTCAGCAGCCTTCTCTAAGCGGTCCTACCCAATGTTTGCTACCTACTTGGCTTCCTCAAGGAAGAAATAAGGCTGATTTCTTCACTGTTCTGGCATATGCGTACCCAGCTAGCTTGCTATGATGTGGGGGCTGAGTAGACTCCGGGTAATTAGCCGGGCTGTCCCAGAGTGGACAACGAGCTTGTCTTCTGGAGACGGTTCCGAATCGCATTCTGGATTGGAGCGATTTGAGTTTTCCCAGGCACTCGAATGAAGCCATCTGAATTAGCCAATGTGCAGGGTGACGATCGAAAGCAACCCTCCACACAGGGACACACTTGCGATAATACAAAAGGTATAAATTGAGGTCGGCGCCACGAAGCCTATGACAAACCGGCTAGGGATCATCCACTGAAAGAGAACGCCCACTGAAGGTGTCCGTGGATATAAAGGGATGGATCTCCTATGGACGCCAAAATTCAGAAATTTCTAAGGTAGAAATAATTTATTAAATTCACACAACCTGCTATTGATTAGCTGCATAAGAACGTTCCCTTGC